GCATTCCAAAAAATCCCGAAAGGCAGAAAGATTGGTAAAAAGGCAGCCAGTGAAGCCCGTGTGGGCACAGATCAGCTGCAGCAGCAATCCTCTGGGCTTGGCCAGCAGGGTGCTGGGCTGGGATCTCCCAGGGGCTCAGGGCTCCCTCACGCAAAGACCGTTGCAGATCCCATCATGGGCGCAGGAGCGCGTACGACTGGCACAGTGGGAAAACTGGAATCCAGCTCCACATTACCTGCAGCAGGAATGACAGACCTTAATGGTCGTATTTCTTCATGACTGGATATTTTCAGAATTGGCAATTGGGGGGGGGGGGTGGCTGCGCCCTCCCTCTCCCAGCTTCTTGTCAGAACTAGCTGGATCTGGGGGCGCCTGGAGGGGTGGCAGGTTATACACTGGGGAACTTCTACATGTAATTGGAGTGCCCTCTGTTGTCATCCTCATTATACCAAAATTAAATATTGCAACTGTGCTATAAGTTTCCAGCTGTTGTAAGATATCTCATTGCAAAGTGGTATTTCATGAGCATTTGTCACAGATGCTCAGAAAACAAACATCATGGCTGGGTCCGGGCCATTTGAGGACCCAGGCTCCGGGGTTCAGAGTGGGTTGGTTGAGCGGAGGGTTTCTACAGCAGACCTGGGTGGATAAGCTGATGTTTGCCGTGGATCAATGAAAATTTTCTACGTTTCCACCTTCCCTGCTCAGCAGGATATGCCAGCGACAGTTGAATGGCCACGCCTCCTATTGCAACATTCACTAGAATCCAGATTGCACCGGCTGTTTTTGCGGCTTTAGCCTCTCCGCCGTTATTAGAAGTACTTACGAAGTCTGATCAGACATATCGACCTACATGCCAGATGTATAAATATGTATTATGAATAAATATGACATGCAGGGTCTTAAGCAGAAATGGGATAAAGACTTAGACTGTGCTATCTGGCCCAGTCAATTGATTCCTGTGTCGGCACCCATCTCAGAAATGTCAGTTGATCTCATTCAGGAAACACTTGGTGTTCTGTGTCTTTTCAACAAGGGCTTTAGCGAAGTTGCCCAGCCGTCGGAGATGTAATACAGCTGGGAACAGGGCCTGGACAACTTTAACCCACGTGTTTTCGCACTGCCCAAGAGTTCTGTCCTTTGGGAAGGAGCCTTTAATACGGTTAAATCTCATGCCCACTGACATCCATCTTCTGGAACTTTGCGCAAAGTCAACATGCATGGCTTTTCTGCACCCTTTCAACAGCAAAAATTCCGATATGATAGCTCTGGACAACTAAATGGCCTCCATGATAACACAATAGATCAAGGGCTTAATTATATTTTCAGTCTGTAAATGAATGGTATTTAGGTGTCGCCTACACGTGGACATTTGGTCCAGTTGTACAGAAGCTTCTGCATAGCCTTTCATAATTGTCCTTTATCTTCCTCCCCTTCTCATGCTTCTGTGCGCTTGTTTTCCTTACAGTTTTCTGAAACTCACACTAAAAATACCAATTAGAACCACAGGTTGTTACTGAAGCAACCCAGCCACATTAACAAACTGTGTTTTGCTAACCACAGACAACCCATGGGCCATAAGCCAAGAACAAACCATGTGCTCTTTTCATGGGTTCTTTACAATTAAACCATTGTTTGTTACCATGGCTAGGTTCAGAACACACAACACACAATGCTCAGTAATAACTACTGAGTGTGTATTATCATCTTGTGTGAACCCAGTCAGGTGGTGCTCTTTTCAAGAGAGATTCAAGATACATATTTTTAAGCAGAGATCTGCATTTAGGGCGCATTCCTACAATGTACACCCGTTCACCCACTGGTATTAGCCGTCACGGATGGAATCAGAAAGCCTGCCAGAAACAGATGCGCTACCAAGGAACAATCACGCGTGGCATGAAATATGGAAACACGTGCGGAGGAACACCTTTCCCCCAATGCTCTTGCAGCCAAAGATTTTGTTAACATAGAAACATAGAAACAGAGCGAGTCAGAAGGGCCTCCCAGGCCATCTAATCTGACTTCCGGCACCAGCCGGCTCTGCTCACGACATGCCCACCATGTGGACATCCAGCCTGTCCTTGAACACCCGCACTGATGGGGCCTCAACGACCTCTCGTGGAAGCTCATTCCACACCCTCGGGGTCCCAACCATCAGGAAATGCTTCCTGGCATCCAAATGGAACCTTGGCTCCCTGAGCTTTGCTCCGTTGGAGCACGTCCTGCCTTCCTCTGCAGGGGAGAACAGGTCTCTACCCACCTCCATGTGACATCCCCTCACATACCTGTATGTCGCCAACAGATCCCCTTGGAGTCTCCTCTTCTCCAGGCTGAAGAGACCCAGTTCCCTCAGCCTCACCTCATACAGCATCCCCTGCAAACTGGCCACCAACCTTGTGGCCCTACGCTGCACTGACTCCAACCTGGCTATATCCTTTCTGTAATGAGGGGCCCAAACCTGAACACAATACTCCAATTGCGGGCGTACCAGAGTTGTGTAAAGTGGTAGTAATACCTCTCTTGATCTAGAAGCCACACTTTTGGCAATGCAACCAAGGGTGGCGTTCGCCCTCTTGACCACCACATCACACTGCTGACTCATGTTTAGCCTGAAGTCAACTGCCCCCTGCTCCCTCCCAACCCCTCTGGCCCCGCCCCCTTCCTCTCCGCTGCTCCTGGCCCCCTGCTCCCCTCCCAGCTCCTCCCTTGCCTTCGCCAGGCCCCTGGCCACTCAGCCTCTCTCCCAGCCTGTGCCTCTGCTGCTCTGCTGCTCTGCCAAGAGGCCAGAGCCAAAAGCCCAAGAGGCCAGAGCCAAACGTACAACCCCTACCCAAGTCGGCTTACATTATCCTTCTCTTCTCCCTTTTATCCTCATAACACCCCTGTGAGGTAGGTTAGGCCAAGAGTCCATGACTGGACCAATGTGTCATGGCTGAGCCAGGATTTTCCAAATGGCAGTCCAACACACTAACCACTAGCCCATACTGGTTCTCTGTTGCCCCCCTTGATGGCTTTGGATGGGCTCCCAATGAGGGAGTCCCCATAAGGCTCTAGTCCACAACAACCTTTTAACTGAAGGGTCAAAGTCTTCTGGCTCAATGGAATTTACTTTTTGAATCCTAATTCAAACTTTATTCCCACTGCTATTTTCAACCCAGATTTAAGGATTCCACATATGCTCCTGAGGCATCAGGGAAACAAATGTTTACTTGTGCAATCTATAGATATCAAACTTTTATAAACTTCACACACAAACATTTGTTTAGGTCTTGGAGCAATCTGCCCAAAGACCGGCAGAGTCAATAGTTACAAAAGGTTGGATCCAAACATAGACTGAGTTGAGCCAACACAATAATCTATTCTCAGTGGTTCGGCATGGGTTGCTGGAATGAGTAATATCGTGTGTCTGAACCCAAATGAGGTAGCAAACCATGGCAAACAACCCAGTCCACAGCTCAACGACAAACTAGACATTTTCTTCAGGAGTTGTGTGTAGTTAACAAGCCATGGTTCAGACATCACAACCACATACAATTCAACAACAATCTACCTTTCACAACAACCCATGTTCAGTCTTTGTGTGCAGCTCACCACGTTCCCTGAACCCCATGAAAAGCAAAAGGCTTAAGTGCCACTGCTGGCAGTTATGGCTAAATCATGATCTGATGAGGCAGCAAATCTCTCTCAATGCAAGGATCAAACTCCATTTCAGAGAAGTTCTTGAGGGCTGCATTTGAATAGGTGGGGGCAGCTGAAGGCAAAGGGGGTGGGTTAAAGGGACGTCGCCTAAATAAAAAACTCACAGCTACTTCTCTTTAAAATTCTTATTACTGGTGAGTACTTTTAGCCAATCACAGGGGTGAGAAATTGCCTGGAAAACTGGAAAAACAGGAGAAATTTCTGAGACATTTCAACAGTGGTTTTCCTCTCTTCCCCCCACTGCTTCTCCAAGACTGAGAAGGTAAAAACTTCATCACAAAAATGGGAAATAGAGGTTTAACTCCGCGCTCCTGAACTGCCATGGTCCCAGTCCAAATCTGGGTTGCTCACACTCATGCAGAATCCACTAAATTTCCTTTGGTTCTCACTGTCAAAACCCCAGAACTACAGGACGGTTGATAGCTTCCCTTCTTGACCTTAAGTGTTACAGAAGAAAAGAACCTGCAGCTGCTTTACCACCAACACAACCCCACTCTGCTCAAACATTTCTCAGACATTTTAATTGCTGTCTTGAAATCCCTCCCCCTCCCCCCGCCCAAAAAAATCCTACTTTTTCTCCAGCAGGGGGCTGGATCTGCAAAAATTCAGAGTGGACTTTTAGTCCACCTCTAATTTCAAACTTTTAGCATAAGGAAAAACCTTCACAAAAGCTGGGAAGCCAGCTAATGATTGGTGCGTGCCAGGCGGAGGGAGGGCCTTGTGGGAAGGAGGCGGCTGCCTGAAGCAGGGATGCGAGGCTGGATTTGGCTCCCTTGCACTTGCCAGACTTTCTCACACTGGGCCCTGGCTAGGCAGTAAGCCAGACGGAGATCAGACCACAAATGCTCAGGAACTCCAGTGCAAAGTATGTGATTCTTTGCATGAATACACAGAGTGCATAATTCTTTGTGCAAGATACGTGCATTCTTTTCACAAAATACAAACTACGTAACCCTTTGCACAAAGTACGCAAAGCCTACAGATCACAAGTACAGAAGTGGAACCACTTGAACTCAGTTCCCGCATGACGTCCGCACAAAGGCTCAGCTTAGCCTTAGGGAAGAGGGAACACAGGCTGGAGTCTGGGGAGCTGAGCAGAGGAAAGGGGAGCTGACCGACCCTCACCCCCAGACCAGATCCCTCACACCTCCCTAAGCTGGAGAACCCAGAGTGGCCAGACAGGGCCCGTGGTCTGCATCTGCGGCACGGCCTGCGGTTCAGCAACCACAGTGCGGAACCACCGCATTCCTGCAGAGGCTGGCACAGAACGCCAGCACGGGACGGACAAGCCGGCTCCCTACCGGGGTGGTTGAGCTGCAGCGTACTCCTGCTCCACTGGGACAGGCCTACGATGGCCACCATCTTGGCACCCAGACTGGACCGGCGCTTCTTGGTGGAGGAGAGGCTTGCCGAATCCGGGTTGCCTCCGCCACTCTTCTCGATGTTGTACATCTCTCCGCTGATGCTGGAGCTGCGGACCACATTCCTGGCAGAGGAGGCGCTCGCCTCCCCATTAAGCATGGTCACCTGAGGGACTCTCAGCAGCTCCTTGCCGGCCGAGTGAAGCTGGAATAGAAAACAGAGGAACTATGAGTGACTGAGGGAGGAAGGGCTTGTCTCGGATGACCCGTGTGGCAGCCCTATTGCTCTGGAACCTGACTGACCAAATCTTATTGTCTCACCTGTTACAGAGCCAGCTGTCTGCCCAGCCTGAGACCCTCCTCTTTACTGAGTTGTGATTTCAAGTTTAGCCAACCACAGATTTGGATGGGTGATGGAACAAGGTGCCTTTGAATGCAGAATAAGTATTTGAGGTCTGTACCAAGCTGAAGGCATTGTTCCTTATGTGTCAGTATTTCCTCTACATACTGACCCCAGGGCGAGGTTCTTGGAGGCCTTGCCACCACGTGGACGCAGGAATGCCTTGCAGAAACAGCTCTTTTCTCTTGAGTGAGATGGATGCTCATGTGACACATAAAGTTGCTTTGCTTGCTTGGGAAGCAAAAACGACCAGGAAGAGAGAATTAGACAAAATGGCTCTAAACTTCATTGGAGAGTCAGAGTTAAATTAAAGAGGAATAGCATATTTTAATTTAAGTATGTTTTATATTGCTGGCATTCTTCATTTTGTTGTTCATGTGCATTCATTTAATGTATTTGTCATGGCCTTTCACTAGTACAATAAGCTTTTTGGACCTTTTTTGGACTTTCTCACTTCCATCTTCCCCCCAGCAAATGAGGAAGAGTGGGTGGCTACCAGCGGTGGGGCGTTTGTGGGGGTGGCACCCCATTTGTGGAACAACCTTTCCAGGGAGGCTCACCTGGTTCCTGTGTAGTGGTCTTTGGGGCACTAAATGACCTATTCTCTAGCTTTTCTCTTTTCCAAGTTTCTTTGAGTTAATGTCCACGCGTTTTAAGTTCTTTGCACTGCCGCTGGCTTTTTCTTTGGTTCATTCTACTCTGAATGTTTTTAAATGTTCTGTATGTAATGTTTTAGTTTGCTGTTGTATTTTCAGAAAGTCTTGTTCTATGAACCACTCAAAGCTTCAGCTACTGGGTGGTGTGGAAATGAAATAAACTTTAAAAGTCTGATATCATCTTCTGCAACTACATCAAAAGCTGGTGAGCAGCCCCTGCCTCCAAGGGCGCCACCCTGCTCCAAGATTCCACTTTTGGGATCTAAAGCAGCTGTTTTGGCAGGGCCTTTGGCAGGGCTTTTCTCTGAAAAATGCCTGGTGCAAATACTGGCTTGCTAGAAAACCCGCTGGGCAGCTCTGTTTCTCCTGATGCTGCTTTCAGCATCCCGGATGGGCCACGTGAGCGGCCCGCTCTGGCCAGATGCACGCCGGGCACGAGCAAACAGCGCTGCTTGCCCAGAAAATGCCACGCTGCCACGCTGCAGCAGTGCTGCCCCGGCTTTGCCATTGCATGCTCTGGCAGCAGGTTCAGGTGGCAGGAGGTCCTCTGGAGAGGCAGCGAGCAGATTCCAGACGCTCCAGCAGCAGTCCTCACTCCCACCATGGAGAAGCCTCCCGGAGAAAGCGGCTTTGCTCTGGGGCAGATGGAGGGCGGCTGCTGAAGACCCCAGCCCTGCTGAAGAGCATTCAAGGGACTGGCTTTGCATAAGGGCCCCTTGACCTGCTTGCCAACCCTGAATGAGGCTCCGCAGAGGCGAGGGCGCACCAGCAGCAGATGCTTTTCGCTCCTGAAGCTGCAGTTTTGCAAGGCCGCCTTTGCTGCATCCCAACAGGGAAGAAATGGGTGAAGATCCTCCTGCATTGCCAGCAAAGGTCAATATGATGCTATCGAACCTGCGTGCCAGTCTGGTAACAGCCACTCTTGGCAGGGCCCTGTTGGTTTGTTGGCTCTGGTGTTTGAGGCAATTGCACCCGAGACGTAAACCCTCTGCTTCCTCAGGAGCCCGGCTGCACAGACTGCTTGGCACCATCACAACTGAGGGGCAGTTGATGCTCATCCACATGGAAATGTCCCAAACGGGCGGCCACCTCTACTGGGTAAGGCAGGGAGAGCGGGGCTGGAATAGCAACACCCAGCACTGCCTTAGGAGGTGATCGGATCAAATCCAGGCTTTCTCAGTGACACCCATGCTAGAGGTGCAGGACAGGGTGGGACTTGATTCTCCAAAGCAGGGGCCTTGCTAGGCTTCCCTACATGGGTCCCCCCAGGCCCCGGATCTGTCCTACAAAGCCTCGCATGCCCACTGGTTGCAGTGTGACATAGCGGCCCATGCCTCGCCTCCCAGCAGGAGTCAAGGCGCTGAACTGTACCTCCCATCCATTAGCTTGCATGACATAAGAAGCTGCAACAGGAAATCTTGCTTCAGGCTCCACAGCAAGTCATCCTACTAGCTAATATTTGCTTCCAATGAGTCACGCTGTTTGGCATCCTATCAGGTTTGCCCATTCAACGCAATGGGGCAAACAGGGCAATGAACCCCAGCGGCTGGGCAACCCTCAGAGCCTCCGAGACTCATCTTCTCCCTCTCTGGCAGCCAGCTGCCTGGCCCTCGCGCTTCAGCCTTCCTCCCCCTTTCTGCGGTTGCTGGGTTACCCAGAAGGACCTTCACCCCCTTCTCCGGCTGCAGGGCCATGAGGCCTCTGCCATCATTTCCCCCCTCTCACTAGAGTCAGGATCAAGCCCCACACCTTCTGGAAGCACCACTGCAGAGCTGCTGGACCCAATCCCCAATCCCTTCACAGCAGAAGGGATTTCCTGAGCTTCAGTGCCACACCAAGGGTGACTCCCAGGGTGGGGGAAGTTGCAGCTGAAAGGAGAAGGGAGCAGCCCCCCCCCCCCGCATCTCTCTGCATGGCAGTTGAGCTTAGAAAAGAACATTCTCCCTTGGATCGGGATGCTCTAGGACAGAACGCAAGTTAATCAGATAAGTTATTTCTTTGACATGGTTTGGACAGGGAATGATTGAGCTGGCTTTGCCTTGATTCGAATTTCTTAATACTTCTGCATTCGTATAGATATAAATTAATCTGTGCCTATGTTGTGCAGTTTTTGTCCTGTCATTCTGGAACCCTGAGTGCCCAGCAACACCCCTTCTCTGAAGTTTAAAGGAAGGGCAAACCTGTTTGCTTTTACATGCAACGCTCTCGGCCACTGTGTGAGGTAAGACAGGGGGCCGTGGCCAATCAGTTAACTGAGAAGAAAGAACAGGTGTGCAACCCGTCAGGTACTGGTGCGCCTCCATGCATGTCCATTCAGAAGGAAGTCCCGCTGTGTCCACTGACCCTGACTCACAGGTAAGGATGTGCAGCCTCGGCACACAGGAGCCAAACTGGGCGGAAGGGCCACAAACGAGTTTGCAGTCATTTCAACTGAAAGGCAGCGGTGCGGGACGGGCTGCAACCCTGACCTAAGCAACAGCTGGGCAGAGGGGCTGCTCGATCCTTTTCTGTCTTCTGTTTTTTCAAGAGCAAAACTACCTCTCCCTCCCCAACTCCCTCCCTCCCTCCCAAAAAAAATCAACTCTTTATTGGTTTTTCCACCTTTTTTGCTTAGAAGAGAAACAACATGGGGCAATTTTTGTCAGAAAAATGGCTTGTGGGGGAAAAGGTCATGCTTTCCCTCCTCCTGTCTACTTACGGGATAACTTCCCAATCTCTCCCTGGTGAAGGAGGAGTCGGAAGCCAGAAAGGGCAGCCTCAGCAGAGGGAGGAGACGGAAGATGGAGCAGACCACGGAGGGTGGTAATGGAGGGAGAGGAGAGGGGCAAAGGGCTCGCCCTCACCTCTGCGATGGGTGGCTGGTTTGGGCATGGGGACTGCTGCTTATGCAATGCTGCCTTGGCATGCGAGGGTTCTGTCTATGACGGCCACTTCTGCATCAGTAAGGAGGTGCGTCCCTGGAAGGGGGGCCTGAAGAAGCGTGTGCTTGCACTGCGCCTCGCTCACTCAGCTGCTCCCGGGCCTGTTCTGGAGCACCCTTCAAAGATGGAAGGCCTTCCAGCTGGAGAGCACGTGGCCACCCTGGCTCTCTGTGGCATCTCCCGAGCAGAACCGAGTGGAATTGCAACACACCTCAGGATCGCCCTTCTGCTAGTGCTGCAGGGAGCAAGGCTGAGATTCCTGGCAGACTCTGCCGTCCATATCCTCCGGACCTTGCCTGTTTCTATCATTTCACCAGCTCAGGACCCGTTGCGTCAGTGGATCTGCTCCAGCACCAGGTACAGCGCACTTGCCGATACATGTCCTTGGGGAATCACTGGCCCTGTTTCTGGCTTTGAGGGGTGCCTTTGTAAAGACAGAAATCATTGCGGCATCTAACAATGGAGTCTCAGATGAACGGGAGAAGAGCTCCCGCTTACTTATGCTGCGGATGATGTGAGGTCCCTGATGGACATCACAGGAAGCTTGGCCGCCCTCCCTGGAAGAAAGGTGAGGCACCCCCACCAGGCGGCGGAGTGGGCGGAGCAGTGACTTGCCCCTCGCAGCTGCCCTGCCACTTCCCCAGGGTGTTCTGGAGAGCCCCCTCCGCAGCTGCTTCCCTGATGTGATGTTTCTCACAACAGAGCATCTAGAACATCTGTCCACAGCTGTGAAGAGCCTCATGGGCAGAAGAAGCCACTGCAGCACTCTAGAGTCAACACTCCCAGGTTCTGGGCAAGTTCTCACTCGCCCCAGCTGCGTGGCAAAGGGAAGGGGACGGAGGCCGAGGGGCAGCAGTGCATGGGGTGGCTCTGCGTGCCCCACAGGGCTGACTGCGGGGGCTTTTTCTGAGGCTCTCCAGGTGAGCAGTGCAAAAAGCCTGAGGCCTGGCCAGCCACTGCATGCGTTACGGAGGGCTGCTGTTACCACATGTCATGCCCCTCCGCTTGGCCTGTTGGCTCCGCCTTGGTCTGGGACCCACCCAACCTCTGCCTGGGAACCACGATAAGGGGTCGCTGATGCCCGATTTTCTGTCCCCCACCCCCCAGAACAGAACTTGCCAGATGTTGGGCCCTTGGCAGCCCCTCCAGGTGTGTCTGATGTTAACCCCCGGCATTCTGGATGCTTGGCCTTTCTGGCAGAGACTTCTGGAAG